TTATTTGGTGCTTATAATTCTTCCCTAAAATATTAATCTAACTTCTTTTTAATTACCTGAAAGACGGAGTAACATTAAAGTAAAAAAGTAATACTCTGTAATAAAATTGATTCATATTATTGATATTAAAGAAATTACTTTAAAGCATCACTTTTATTTGTTAGACATAATAATTTTTTTAAAAAAAAATTACACTTACCGTGCATGGCACGAGGCCTAAGCTAGTTAACATCTAATTACTTCTAATTACTCTATAATTCCTACTTAAGTATTTAATAATTAAATTATTTTATAAATTAAAAAAAATAGAAAACCACCACCCCACCACCAGTCAGCCACCCTTTCCCCTCCCCTTGAAGTAGCCCCCATCCCCGGCGACCCAGCTTCACCGTCGGTCGATCCCCCTCCCTTTCCCCTTTCCCCCGTTGCAACCCTCCCCCCTCCCTAACCCTGGCAGCAGCCCCCAATCGCCATAATCCTCGCCGCATAACCCAATTCCATGTCTTCCCCGCCGCAATCGCCGCCGCAAAAGAAGTAGAAAACCGCCCGGGTGTTCTTATGCACTTATCTTCTCTCTCCTCGAGGTCTGTTCTTACCGTTGGCTATTCTAAAAATTTTGAGGCTCTTGATAACAGAGATGGTGGTTTTTGTGGCTGAGGTGGTGCTTAATTGGAGGATTGGGGGATTGGGGTTTAGGGGTTTGGAAGAAAGGGTTGGGAAAGGGGAGAACGAAGGGTTTGTGGAAGTAGCCGCCATTGTTGAAGGCATTGAAGGTTGAGGAGAGAGAAAAGAGAGAGATTGAAGAAGAAGAAGGGGGCTGCTGCCATGGTTTAGGGAGGGGGGAGGTGGGTCGTCGGGGGTGGGGGCTGCTGCCAGGGGAGGGGGAAAGGGTGGCTTCGGACTTGTGGTGGGATAGTGGTTTTCTATTTTTTTTTAATTTATAATTAATTTGATTATTAAATAGTTAATTAAGAGTTATAGAGTAATTAGAAGGAATTAGATGTTAATTAAGTGAATTAGTGGTACTAGGTTGTTTTAAACAAAAAATTTTAACTTGGGGTTTTCTTTTATGATAAAGTTTTTAAAAGGTTTTTTTTGCAAAATAATGCATTTAAAAGGTATTTTTTTTAACAAATTTGCCAAGAAATTAAAATAAAAACAGGTTTAGACAATTAATAAGGAAATTTGGGTTTGCAAAAAATAAGAAATTAAGGAAATTTGGGGGATTAAGAGAAAAAACCTCGACACGTTTCTGAAACAATTCCATTATAGGTGTTTGGGTGCTTAGGTGTTTGTGCAGTTGTGCTTACCTTAAAAGGGGTTTTTATAGTACTTCTAAAAAAAAAATAGTACTTCTTATTGATAATTTGAGTGATTAAAAAATCATTTAAGTCTTTTATAGTTGTTGATTTTATTTGATACAGCTACTCATTAGTCTAAATAACACGTTATTTTATGTGTACCTTAATTCAAAATCTATACTGGTGACCAATAAGTCCGTGTGACTACTTCGAAATTATTACTTTAAGCTGTCTCATTAGTCATTACTCCCTCTATCCCTTATTTTTTTGCTCCATTTGACTTTTCACGATTTTCAAGACGCGTGTTCAAACTTATATATCTTAACTATACGCATACAAATTATAAAAGTTTGATATGAATAAAATATACAATGAGATGGTTCTAACAAGACCCCATATGAATATATTATCACTTATCCGTTATCGAGAATTTATGGTCAAAGTTTTTTAAATTTGACCCATGAAATTACAATGGGGCAAAAAATAAGGGACGGAGGGAGTACCTTCCTTGCACCTACCTAGGCTTTGTAATTCCTTGCCATTGTTGCTTGTATAATTCTCATGTCACCTATTCATATTGATTTTGAGTTTTTTTTTTTTTTTTTTTTTTTTTTTAACTTTTGGGATTCACATTTTCATGATAATTATTGCAGTAGTAGAAACCTCATGGTCCCCTTATTTTAGTTTGATATAAATCCCAGATTTATATGGTATACTTCCTCCATTTTTTTTAGTTGACATCATTTGACTTTTACACTATTCACTAACTACACTTTGAGTAGCTTTTGTGATTTATAACTATGATAAAACATAGTCAAATGAGATCTTGTTTGAATCGTCTCAATGTATATTTTATTAAAATCCACTTCTTATAATTTTACAATGTTGTGATTTAAAGATATTAAGCGTTAAAATAGTGTATTGACAAGCGTGAAAAGAGAAAGGTGTCAACCAAAAAAAAAACGGAGGTAGTATGTGATAAAAATTATGGATGTTGTCACGAACATTCTTCTTTCCAGCGTCGTTTCCTGTTTCAAACTTTCAATATGCTACATTCTTAATCTTTTGGAAGTGGAGAGTCCAATAGCCCATGTTGTAGATGTGTCATACTCCTCCATTTCGTATTAATCGCAACACTTTTCTTTTATATTTGTTTTCTATTAATTGCAACACTTTTATTTTTGGAAATGACCCAATATTATTTTATAATTTCTCTTTCCCACTAACCCTACTTTCACAAATATTTTATTATTTCTCTTTCCTACCAACCTCAGACACACTACTTTTTTACTTGTATTATTTATCTCTCTTACTAACAATACTTTATATTACAACTTTGCTATTTGATAAACAAATTTTGTTTATCATATTGATGAACTAGTATATTCTGTAATATTATAAGCCTATAAATTTAGTTTATAATTTTCTTAAACTTTAAGTCAATCCTACCATTGCGATGAATGTGAAACGGAGGAAGTATCTGATATATGCATTATATAGTGATATATTTAAATGAATGAACATGTAATAAAGATTTGGATTATTGACATCGGATCCACGCTGCCACGCATCATTTTACGTGAGAAAAATCTAAATTGGTTAGTTGACTCACAAAGCTTTGAATGACCTATTGGATTACCAAATAGTGAAAATGTGTTGGCTTCTTTATTGAGATCCGTTCGTTTATTGATTGGATAATATTACTCTAACCAGAGCTCTTTATGTTACTATTGAGTTGCAATTTACTTTCCGTTTCACAATTTAAGAATTAGCTAAGTTGTAATGTCCAATTTAATTCTTATATGTCTACTATAAATACAGGACCAAATGAATGAACTAACTGATTGGAACGGGAGTTAGGAAGGACGGACTATACTATTTTAACAAACTGGATTTGGTGCAACATATGGGTGTGATTGAAGCAATGTTAAACTTGGAGTTGTAACATAGACGAATGAGCCATCCTTTCGAAAAGTAGTTAAGTTACTTCCTCACGACAATAGTAATAAAGACAGTTTTGATAAGGGGTATGAAGTATGTATGCTTGTTAAACATCCTAGAGACAGATTTTCTTTGAGTAATAATAAGACTTCTTGAATTTTTGAAAAAATACATTGTAATTTCTAAGGGTCCATGTCGACAAGTTTGTTATGTGGAGCTTGTTATTTTTAACAATTGTTAATAATTATTCCCAAGCAATGTCAATTTATTTGTTGATTGATAAATTCAAAGTGTTTCGGATGTTTAGGGCGTTTGTTGCTTTTTGGTTATGTATTAATTGATAAATTCAACGAAATTTGATGATGAGTAAAACCTTTTAGACAAAATTTTGTATGTGGCTGGCCACACCATGTAGCAGGGGTTACTCGAGTTACTCGGTCATAGGTTACTTGAGGGGTTCGATCAGGGGTTACTTGAGGGGTTTGGACAAGGATTACTCGGTCAGGGTTTACTTGAGGGGTTACTCGGTTAGGGGTTACTCGGTCAGGGGTTATTTAAGGGGTTCGGTGAGGGGTTACTCGGTCAAGAGTAAGTCGAGTAACCCCTGACCAAGTAACTCGAGTAACCCCTGACCAAATAACCCACAGGCGAAGAAATATCATGTAAATCAGTGAAAAGATCAATATTATCAGACATATGATTGGAAGCTCTAGTGTCAATGAGCCACTCAATAGAATTATACGTACCAAGTTTAGTGCCATCTGACGAGGAACCAAACTTAGCACCGTTTAAAACAACAACAAAGACCACGCACACACCACACCAGTGCACCACACAGCACGCGCACACCACAAAGCACCACACAATAGCACCAACGCACCACACTCGACAGCACACCACAACCACGCACGCACAGCACACACAAGAAAGCGCACCGCACACACACACAACACACTAGCGCACCACCAACACGAGCACCACACAACACAGACGCAACACCACAAACAATCATGCTACCACACAGCAGCGCTTAACCAAACCAGAATTAGGATCGTGAAACCCTAATTTTGAGTAAACTAAAACAGAATTTTGTGGGAGAAAAATTAAAAAAAAATTAAAGCCTTAATCTCCTAAATTGCGGAAAAGAAACAAATTAATTTGATGAACAATCCAAGATCGAAAAAATCTCTAGAAATTAGATAGGTTGTGCCATGTTAAACTCAAGAAAATATTGAAGAAAACGGCTTAGCCTTGCATTAATAATTACGACAAATATATATACATAATACAAGAGACCTAACTTACCTAAAACTCCTAACCAGATAAACTTGACAAATATACAATATTAACATATATAAACCAGTCGACTTCTAATATTGTAACTCCCTAAAACCGCTACCGCTACTAGTATTAGCAGTTTTACCAATTTTTGCGGCTACAATATGCCGATTTTTTACCCCTTGATATTATCAGAAATTCAGAATGATAATCCGGGGGTATATTACCCCTAAAATATTCCCTAAAACTAATACTCCCCTTCTTTCCTCAGAAATTGTTTCATACTCCTTTTAGTTTTGTTTTTTCTTTCACAATGACTTATACGAAGTATATTACACTCACCAAAATTATGGGTAAAATGAAACAGATTAAATCTTGACTGATTTGTGGTTTTATTAAATCTTTTACTGTAGTTTGTATATAACAGATTAATTTTTAAAAATGGAACTTTATGACATCACAAACTGGCTAAAGTCACCGGAAAATAGAATAAGGTAGCAATAATAATCAATGATATCCATATTGAGATACAAACTATAATCCTAGCTCATTGCAAATGAAGTTTAATATACAAAAGCTTATCTTTGTCACATGAGTTTTTCTCAACTCCTAGATCTCTTTTCGTGATGATGGGAGTGTCTTCTATGTTTCTGATGCCTGTGTGAGTGCTTATCCCTTCTGCTTTCCTTGTCTTCGGGGCTCCTTTTCCTCCTAGGAGAATATGCATCCCTATCTTCAGAACCCCTTTCCCTCCTAAGTGATGTCTCTGAACGTTTGAAGTTCTTCTCTCTCATTGATGATGATGATGTTTCCAAATCTTCGGAATTCCGTATCCTTCTGGGTGGCGATGTTTCTTTCTCTTCATATTTCCTTTTCCTCCTAGATGGTGATGGTGATCGTGACGGTGATGTTTCTCTCTCTTCAGAATTACTTTTCCTACGAGGTGGTGATGGGATCTGGCAATATGTAAAGCCAATCAGATTAGTAAAATCCATGCAGAGTTGCAGAGTAAGCCCTACAATTTACTCTAGCTATAGAAAGGCTGTGAGACATGGTAAGAGAGATAATAATGCAAAGAGGTAAAAGGCTAGACTGAAGGTGGTATACAATTAGCTTCATCAATTGCATGAGGGCAGACAGAATCTAGATACTACCTCTCCCACTGCTCCCTGGTCAGATTCCCCCCCCCCCCCCCCACCACCACCACAAAACTAGTTCCTTAATTCAAACTTCCCACAGATAAAATCTAACAGAAAACATATGGTCTATTCCCTTCTTAGGCCCTGCTGGTTGCCAGACGAATATAAGGGATTTGTTTGTCATTGCTGAGAAGGAAATTCATAGACAAAAAAGAAACAATAACATGTACCTGGTAACGTGACATATATCTACCTTCTGGTGGAGGTGGAATACCAAGCCTTTTCAAATCATCATAGGGTATAGGTCGCCTGCATCAAGAAATTACATCATATGTTACATGGACTCGGGAACGGGTATCAGACACGGACACATGTCCAAGTGTCTGATCCGGCAAGTTCCAAAATTTTAGGACACGGAGACTCTGTCCGATATTAGGACACGGGTACGGGGACACGTCAATACATCACTTAAATTTATATAAATAAATTATATATTACAAAAGCTTTAAATTTTTCATTATGTCTACTCCTATATTTTTTATTATAATACTTTCCTTGGTAAATTCTCCTAATAAATGGCAATCTTCTTCTCTCCATCTTCTCTATATTAATGGCGGTTTTCGAACAAGATATGTTTTTCTTTCATGTTTCTTCTCTTTTTTCCTCTCCTCTCTTAACGGAAGTGTCCGAGTGCACAGTGAAGGATCGGACACGTGTCCCGGGTCTGTGTCCGTGAAGTGTCGTGTCGACACGGACACTTCGCGATATTAGCCGTGTCCGATTAAACATAGATTACATCAGTAAACCTAAGAAGTTCATTAGCTTACGTGCATGCACATACTTCAAAATTGAAACATTAGACAATGCCACAAAGGTTCCTTCTCTCAATTAGATACGAATAATATTCAGTCTGAGATTGCTTTGCAAATTACTACAAATCCCAGTCACTTGACAGATCAAAGCAGGACATCAGCAAGCATTTAATTCTGGAGGACTTCAACTAGAGCTTGCACAAGTGACACATCCGCCTCAGACATTCTAAGAAATCTATGATAAGATCAAGTGTGAGAAAGCAGAACTTTACAAGTGAGCATTACACTATCAACTTTATCATTGATAACCTGGTGTATGAAAACATCAATGTTGGGAAGTTTCACTCACTGGAGCAAAATCCAGAGGCCTCAGATTCTTTTCAGATAATGTGGAAGTGCAAAAGAAAGAACAAAAGACTTCTGACAAGTTTCAATACACTAACATAAATAATGGAGCTGAAAATTATGCTCATCCTCAGAGACAATAGCTATAAAAGTTTCAACAGCCAAAAGAAAAACAGATCATTAAGGCTAAGAAGTTAGGCTTTTGTTTGTAATGACATTCTCTTTCAAGAATTGCAGACGACCAATTGTGCTAGTGCTCCACTGCCTTTATTGACTCTACTCTCTTCCTCCCAACCCCCAAAAAGCCAGAGAAATTAAGATGAGAATTGGGGTTTTTGCAATATAAAATCACTCCCCTTAACTAAATTTCAGAGGCCAAATAGCAGAAAGCAAACAGTCAAAGGCATAAAAGCATATGGAGTAAAATGTATCAAGTGTCCACTGAAACCAAAACAACAACAACAACAACAACAACAAAACCATCAAACAGCATTTAAACAGTATCATTTGTAAAAAGAGATTTTGGAGGGGGAAAGCAGAGATCCACAAATCATAAGATTATAAGATTCAATATTCTCCACTTTTTTTTCATTTGAAAGAAAAACTAAAGGGCATACAGGGGTGCACGAAATGGTCTTTCTCGTCCGCCAAAACGAAGTTGCCCAGATTCCTTCTTACCACCAAGCCCCCCTCCTGTGACAGAAAAGAAACTAAGTCAAATTAATGATGAGTGTCATTTACATTGCTCATAAGCTAGAGAATTAGGAAGTTTTAGGGTGATTTAGTTCCTTAACTTCTTCTAATCTCTCTGGTCCTATGTTTTAGGCTCTAAACTTTGTTTTTCTCATTTGTCTCCAAACATGTTCTATGATGATTTGCTAATGACTATACACCATTTGGAGAGGACTTTATCAAGCTTGAAGCAGAGTTGGGAGAAGATAAGATATAGAAAAGGAGAATTGCAAGAGGCCCGCCTGAACTAAGAAAAGTTCACCTGCACAAACATCACAGCCTCCCAAATAGACAAGTTCCAGGCAGAGCTCTAAAAAGTTTCTTTGAACCTACCATCTATTTCGGCCTTTCGGGTGAACTCCAAATTTTAGATTTTGGGGGTACTACTTAAGGCTTGAGGCCCTCTTGTAATAAGGATCTTTAGCCTTGAGATTGATTAATTACGGAACGAAAACATACAATTAGAATACTTTAGGAAGCTTTATAATCAACTTTGAAGAAATAATCAAGCTATCTAATAATTTCTCTTGATCATTCCTTTGATTTCCTGTATTATTTTTGATTTAGCTCCATGCTTAATCCTTTATCTTACTAGTTTATCTTGTTTTTAGTTCAGTTTAGAGTTTTTTAGTTGGCAACTGACGCTTTCCAGCTTGTTCTAGTTGATTCAAATCAACATCCCTTAGTCCTTGTGGATCAATTCCAAACTTGACGCTAGACTTGAAAATTCTAAATAGGGTTTAGTTAGAATTTTAAAAAATTGTTTGATTTTAGGGGTTTTGTCAAACGATACGAAATTTCCTTTCATCAGACAAACCTACTTCTGTACTGAAAAGGAAAGGAAGGATGATAAACTGACCTAACCTTCTTGGGATCCATCCAGGCATCAGTTGTTGTCTGTTGTAATCAACAATGATTTCAGAATCATCAATAAAAGAATGGTGTGCATCCTGCATGGAAAGGAAAACAATAAGAGGTACATTTTTTTTTTTTTTTGGAATTTAACAGAAAAGTAAACTAGAAAATTTAACGTACACTTTACATTCCTTATAATCTGTCCACTTTACTCCATATCAAAAGGACTTCCAAGGATAATGAACCACAAACTATAGGCCATAAGCAATCCCTACATTTATATACCCCCTCCCCTCCAATCTTGACGCAAGCTTTGAAGTTTGTGACTCACAAGTTTCAAAAGCCAGAGTTTGCTAACATTGTGAACGACAGTGTGCAATTCAACGTCATCAGCAATTCAGTATCGACCTATTCATTAATGGGTAGAAGGTCGGAATTAAGATACAATCAAAGTTATCCCTAACCAAACAAGGATCCAAGGTTGATAAAGTGGTTGGTTACCAGAGGGTGATAACAACTACAAAGCCTTAGTCCCAAAATGATTTGGGGTACCAGAGGGTGATAGATTTTTTTTTAAAAAGAGAGAGAAAGAGAGAGAGAGAGAGAATTATATACTGTACATAAAAACAAATCACAACCTCATATGCACGCCTCATTTCCTTGCCTGTTTCATATTCAACAAATGCATAACCACGCGATGCACCTGTAACTGCAACAATACAGCATAAAGTTAGCAGCTTGCTACAAGACACATTGTCATTTCTATTTTAAAATTATTTTACAGAGGATGCTACTCTAGTGAGTGTATTTCATGTATTCTCAATAATCAAAAACTTCAATAAGATTTCAAAGACTCCAAATCCAACAAACAATTCAGAGATTATTCGCACTTACAAAAGACTGATTTTGGGAGATCTCCAGATGCTACGAAGTCAACTTAGCTTAGTAAGAGCCTATATTCAACATAACCACCAAACATATTGAATTACACTAATGTGTGTAGAGACCACATTTAGCTACTTCAAGATACTTCAATATTTTGGCCCAATTAAAAGAATTCAACCGCAAAGACATCCTAGGGAAACAAGAGTGACCAAATGACAAAAGCTTGGACCCAAAATGACTAATGTTTCATTGTTTCCCTTTGGTTGCTTGGCTATAGCATTGATCACATCCCTGTCTTCTAGCATACAGATCCTGACTGTTCTTTGTGAGAGTACCTCCAGATGGATACAGCATATTGTCATGAAATTATTTGTGTCACACTTAAGCTCATTGTCCAGGTACTCATAGCCTTGCAAATATTTAGTAGTCTGTACCTATTCCAAATTCATAAAGGTTCCAGTATAAACAGAGATTTAGTAGTCTGTACAATCCATTGACACTAAGGTCAGGAATTTTTGAAATGGATAGAATCTGTGACTTTCAAATTGAATCAACCCCTAAGCCAAATGACATCCACTCATACAAATCCTAAACTTGTAATATTAGTACTCTGACTATTTATCCCCTTTCAATTAAACAAATAGGAGAAGAATGCCATGGCTATACATAACCCTCATCCACGGAAAGGTAGATCTTCATGAATTGAAAATAATTTAAAATTTTCTCCAAGATGGACCTAGTTGAATTTACAAATAAAACTAGGAAACCTACTATATGGATTGCCAATAAGTTGGTACCATCCTAAAATGTTTGGAGGCATCCTAAAGTGTGAAATCTTCATTATTGCAAGAAAATTTTGTTTAGCTAACTAATTGAAGCAGGGTTCTTTAGTCTGTCACTGTTACGTATTCCATACTCTATAATTCCATTATAACTCTCTTAATTCCTTCACTTGTACTTAGTTATTCCCGGCACACTTATTCCCTTCCATTGCATATTCCTTAATCCCTATCTTTAATCCTAAACTTTGTTGCATGTTTTAGAGCAGAAACACAAAAGGTGTAGCTCTTACACATGCTTATCAAAAAATCAACCTACCAAATTGCATCAACCATATGCTACATTCAACAGTCTACTCCATTTAACAACCCTTTATTGAACAATTAAGCGAAACCCAAATTTAATCAAACCATTTACCACACAAAATCTCTACTGTTCTGCAATAATACATGTATCCAATTACACAAATTCCACAAACCAAACAAGAAAACCCGAAATGACGAATGCAATCTTACCTATATCTCTCACTATCCGAAGATTCTTCACCCTACCATACCTACTCATAGCCTGTCAAAAATAAACAATCCACCATAAAATCATCAAAATTTTGTTTACCCTTCAAAATTAAAAACAAAATACACACCATATAATTAAAAGGGTATCAAAATTCATGAAAAAATCAATGAATTAACCTTGTCAAGGGTATCTTCAGTTGTGGAGCGAGAGAGATGACCAACAAACAAAGTACAATAGGGGTCACCTGTAACTTTTGGATCACCAAATGGGTCATCTGCAAATTACACAAAAAAGAATTATATGAATGAATTGTGAAATGGGTGTCAAAAAGAAAGAGTAGAGAAAGAGGAGAGAGAAAGAGGGAGTACAGAGGCCAGCGGAAGAGCAGAGAAGAGCTCTGTAAACAGCGTTGTCGTGAGGAAGAATGTCGGTGCCATCGATGCTGCCGGCTTGAATGGGGTGGTATGTTTGTGCGTAAAATACTGCATTTACGCTGTTGTTGCTGCTTCTGCTTCCGCTCATCACTATTTTCTGTGTTGCTGTGCTCGCTAATTTCTGTTTTTGAATGATTTTGCTTGGTTGCTAACTGTCTTCGCATGCTTTAAGACAGTTCGCAACCCGGCTTAAAACGGAGAAAATCCCAATATTGATATATATATGTAGGTAAAAGCGCTAACTTGATTTTCCTCTATTAAAAAAAAAAAAAAAAAAAAAAAGCGCCAACACGATTAAGTTTTAGGGAAAATTGTTACTTCTTAGGGTAAGTTTATTGCAAGTCTTGAGCAAAGTCTCAACACGAGTCTTGCTCAAGATTCTTGCAATAAACTCACTCAAGACTCATGTGAGTCTTGCATGGAGTTTGGAAAATCCAAACCCATGTCGAGACTTTGCAAGGGAACAAATGCTGCCATCTTTTGGTTGGTTGCCAATGAAAATTGGTCACCTCATCAACCAAAAGTTTACAATAATTTTTAAAAAATAATTAAAGATATTTTACAAAAAAATAAATATAGTTTGAAGAGGATTAAGTGAGTCTTGGGATAATGTGTAAATTTGGAGAAAGTTTTGTATGAATCTGAATAATAAAAAAAAGTATTTTAAAGTTAGTGGAAAGCTGATGTGCCAGAGTCTGAATTCTGGGTTCGAGTCTAGAAATAAATTCACCCTTAAAACCGCTAATGTCAATTTGTACCCCTTGATATTTATTAGAATGATAAATCAAGGCTCCCTTCTTAAAACTAATACTTCCCTTCTTGCCTTAAAAATTGTTGGGTATACTCCTTTCAGTTTTTTTACAATGACTTCTTTTTTTTTTTTTTTTTTTTTTACAACGGTCCAAAGAGGGAATTAATCCCAAGAGTTCATGTAAAAACAACAACAAATACAATGAAAACACGTGAAAGACTCTCTTAGTCTCTTTAAGATGTTTTGATGTTCCACTCTTTTAGTTGTTTGCCCGTTGATGACTTGTGCTAGCTTAAAGCTTGGAATCCTTATCTTAATATGCAGTAGCCCGTTGCTCCTTGTTTTTCTCAGGCCTTCGTAGACTCCATTCAGCATACTATAGTCCTTGTCAATGCCAATGACAGCAGTTGCCCCCCACCCCAACAGTTGTCATCATCACGCAGAACCCATCCTTCTCCATTTTGTCCCTGTCCCTTTCTTGACGCTATAATTGTCAAGATACTTTGTCCACAGTCTGAGTTGCCCCTAATGATATGATCCCATTTATCGGTCTGATCTTTGAATCTGTTGTTAGAACCTGGGGGCCTTTTTCAATTTATTGATCATCCGCTCTAGTCTGTGCCATTGTGTAACTCGTGTCTGCAATCTTAATTATCCCCTGAGGAGTAGCCCTAGTGCCACGGAAAACACTTTCATTTCTTCCGGTCCAAATAGCCCACAAGGTAGCAATGAAATATTTTGTAGGGCAAAACTTGTCATCTCCTTCCTTTCGCGGTCTGACAATCCAGTAGTCCACCCAAGTCCTGATATCAGTGTGCTGCTAGCTTCTCGTATCAATGCCCAGTCTTCCTCCGCGCCAGACCCGTCCCGCCACATCGCAATCTCTTAACAGATGATCAAGAGTTTCCTCTTTTTCCTCATTCCCACACAAATTATAGAAAATTGGAAAGGGTAGATTCCTTCTCTTGAATTCAAATCCAACCGAGAGCACCCTGCTTCTGATTTTCCATAGGAATACCTTCCATTTGTTGTTGACATCTAGTTTCCAAAGTATATTACACTCATAAAAAATTTAGCTAGAATGAAAAATAGTCACGTTCGTACAAAATAGAATAACTTTTTAAATGAAATTTTATGACATCACAAACCAGCTAAAGTCACCGGAAAACAAGATAAGGTAGCAATAGTAATCAATGATATCCATATTGAGATACAAGACCAAATATTGAATTTTCTTTACTTTCAAATTTTCAATCAACATAGGTTTTAAGAAAATTAGTAAAGTAACCATGTCCATGAAAAGTGGACGTAGTAACAATCAGGTACATGTTGAACACTTAATGTCATGTCTCATCTAGTTCATCCAATCCTAGAATCTACAAGACTACAAGTTTACATGTTAGAGAAACAATTTCAGCAAGAATCTAATACCATCAGGAGATGTAATAAAAGCTCAACTCCTCTGGCCCACAAAGCGCTATATTGTCAAGATTTACAGTAGAAACAGATCCCGACTTGCATTAATAATTTGCGTATTCGGAAACAGAGATTCGGCAACCAATATCAAGAACTACGCGGTATGCTGATGTCTAGTGACACCACGAGAACACTTCTTTCGGCCTCCTTTATTGAGTGCACAAACACAAATTTCAAGAAGCTCATAATCCTCATCACAAGTCAAGGCCGAAGCAGCATTAGGGTTTTCTAGGAGCATTTTTGATGTTAGGTACCCAGCAATTGTCCAAGTTTGATGAAGGCGTGCTTGTTTACCAATAAACCGTCCCTTTTTAGTATCATAATACTCTGGCCATTTGTCCACTGAAAGCCTTTTCTCAGCCAAAGTAATAGCTTTTTCAGCTAGCTCTGGCCTCCTCATCTTTATGCAAGCTAGTGTGAACTGCAAAACAGGCATATTTAAGAGCAACATCATATAGCAAATTATAAGCATTCATGATGCCAGTGGTTGTGGCGAGGGAAACTCTGTTCATGCTAACAAGTCGCTCAAGGGGTGAAGTGTAGGGGACAGTACTGAGTTCTCCAATAGATAAATATTAAGTTGCTTTGGTGATCTGATGATAAAAATATGCCTTGGAAAGCAACAGAGATTAGTGATGTTCACTTAAAACTCTGTTTATTATATGGCCCTCACTTTAACCAAGACTTTGACACCAAAGTCAAATCACAAAGGTCCATGCTGCACAAAGTACTCTAATTTTCTGTCGACGACAGAACTGTTGAGAATATTTTTTTATAAGTGGGTTTAGGCTTAGTTCTATTATTTGGACTAGGCTTTATAGGTTTCTTCATATAAAGAAAACACATTTTCTTTATTGAAAGACTTTTTTATTCGATTTTTAAATAAGAAAAAATTACTAGAAATTCTTGCTGTTCTCACTAAATAAAGTCCACATTCATGTGAAGTGAAGATGAATATAACACTCACAATAAGAGCAAAAGCAAGGATGGCTTATGCCAAATATCTTGAACTTAAAGAAAACCAACCCTAACTACTTTCATAGCAGGAAATCAATGATGTGAAAAAAGAGTTCTCTATAGAATCACCATCAGAGCCAAATGTAACTATTTCACTTGAGCAAGAAGAGCTACCGACTCTAAGTATGCTGACCACAGATGAGGGTGCTTCAATCAAAAGAAGCAAAATGGTAATACAACAGCTGCCATTGTTCTTAAAATTTGTCTCTGAAACTAGGTTTGTTTGGTTTGGTAGGAGAGACTGATGTACATTTGACAAAATGCAACTCATATCCACCACATGCTGACTACCAAAACATATGCCCTTGCTGTCTAAGTCTGGGCTACAGCATCAAAGAAACAAACGCTAAGAAGTTCCTTGCTAGCAAACTTCAATAGCCTTAATCTTATTTTAGCACAATTCATTAGGATTCTGAATTTTTGGGTGTTACTGTTGAGTGTTTGTCTAGTGCCCCTAATATTTAGTTATTTCTTGATATCTTCAATATGAAAAACCCTTTCCACATAAGATTTTGCAATCTGTATATTGGCTATGTATCCTGCTGATGAATTGTTGTCATGTAGAATTTACATGTTGCTCTACACTCTACAAGTAAAGCACAAGGTCAAAGCCTAGTTACCAGAGTATGTGACTTCAGGTTTTAATACTAGTCATCTGGTCCACCATCTTTCTCCTCTGAATAACTAATGCTCCCTCTGTCCCATATTATATTTCCCATTCCATCTTGGTTTGTCCATTTAATTTTACCCCACTTTGTAAATGATTATGAAGAACAACCATTTTACTCACATATAGGATAAAAATTTGAAAAAAGGGGCAAATAAAAGAGAACAAAAGGAGTACAAAGCATTCCGTAACTCTACTCGCAGCTAGCGTAGCAGGCTTATCATTTTCTTTAGAATTACATAACATAGTTCTCCTAATTTAATTCATGATTATAGGTTAGACAGGTAAAGAAAAGAAAAGGAAAAATAAAAAAAAAAAAAAGAAAAAAGATTGAGAACTTGACACCAAATGTCTACCCACAGCCCATAAGCCATAACCAGTGAATCAGATATCTTCAAAAAACAAAAAAAAAAACAAAAAACTGCCCCATAAAAATCCCATAAGCTCAATGTTACAAAGAAACTGGTATTGGAGCCTTGGCACTGTTACAAAGAAATTCCATAGATAAAACAATTTTGAAAGAGAAATTTAGAGGGGGGTGGAGAAAAAAGAGTTAAAACCCTTTCACTCTTTGAACACAGTGACAATTTTGACAGTAAGTGGAAAGAATAATTAGAAACTAAGAAAAAAACAGATTCGAAGGAAGGTGGAAGAGAACCAGACACCATCTAACAGACTATGATTAGAACAGACCTTAGTAGATAGAAGAATATTGCATTTCAATGACTAGAATTGACAGAGAAACTTTCACCCATATCCAAGTTAGGGGACCTTTTGGAAAGATATTGCAGTGAACATCGAAAAATACATACCTGCCACAATAGTGTTGGCCAAGATCCACCATTATGATATGACCATGGACTGCATGCAAATGAAGAAGATCAGGGCTAACAACCAAGATCAAACAAATCCGTAAACAACTATAAATTTTAAAAAAAAATGCAGAAGAAACTAGACTTTACGTGTTCTTTGGATCACAGCCAGTGATGATACGCCATTCCTCGGACTCCACAGCAGGATAACATATTTTAAGAGGCATATCTGCTATAAGGTCACCCCATTTTGATTCGATCAAGGTAAGTATATTCTCATTTTGCTGGGTAGTACCCAAAGATGAAATTATAGACCAAAGATTCCCAAGTGTGAAAAACCGAAAATCCATGTGAGCGGGTTGCAGATTACCAATGAAATAACCACCTTCCTCAGCGATCCAGTCTGCCAGCCATGAAGGTATCTGTTCTGGATAGATATTAAACTTGTTGATGGCATCAGTAGAATATTCCTCTGTTTTGTAACGATATATTTCATTGAGCTTCTTCATGTCAACCCAATAATATTCCCTAATATGAAAAGACAGTGCACTTAATCTATTGTTGATTGCTGCCATAAGACTTTTGGTACCATCACTGACAATTAGCATCTCACGTGAGCAACGTAAAGCTGAGTAGAATAAGGCCTGCAAGATTACGGATAGTTAAAATTATGACATAGATTAAGTTAAAACCCTTTTTATTCTTAAATAGTATAGTCTCATCAGAAAAAGTAATTCATCCACTGAACTCTAATCGACAAAGCTACAAGCCAAAATTAAAATGCATATCAGCTGAGGTTGTACTAGAATAGCAACGACAAAATTATAAGTTTCAAAAAGCAGGCCAAAACAAAAATTTAATGCATAGACCAATTTCTGGAAAAAATAAATAAATGAATAAAAAATAAAAAAATAAGTTAGCTCTTCCAAGTCCTCCAATACTGTTAAAAGTCAAGACAGCAGAAATGGGAACTACATCGATCTCCCATGCAAAGAACAAAACAATGATCTCTCATGCAAACAACAAATATTAACAATTTAATATTCTGTCTAGAAGCATTTACTAATTGTCAGAATTCAACTGATGCAGACCAGTTTATAAACCCACATCAACACATAATTTAGCCATCAATACAAGAGCATGTACCGATGTATGTATGACCAAAACAGACATTGTAAGCTACATTGCATCAATGGAATTAAACAGGAGTGGCAGTGGGTATACATAAAGAACAGGTGACATCACAAATTTTTGCTTGAACTTCATTGCACACCAACAAACATGAATATAACAGATGAGTACAGCATGAGACACCAAAAGTAAAGCCTAGAATAAATAAAAGTAAACTTACTTGAATCTCAAGGGGATGACCATGTATACCCATGCGCCTATCAATCATGCAGGAACCATCAGTGACTAAAAGTGTAGGGAACATATCAAATCCATTAGTTAAGCAGAGGTTAACAATCAATCGAATTCCTGTCTGAACATCCACCCTTTCTTGTAGTGAATTATCACCAGTAATCTTTCCATAAGCTCTTAACAAGATAATCCACCACAAACCTGCACATCAAATAGCAACTTATGGATCGTGCAAGAAACATTAATGAAATCTTCAAGTGTAAAATTAGATGAACACAATACCAGAATCAACAGGGGCCACACGTCCAATGGCTGCTTCACCAAAATCTGGGTCCAAAACTTCTTCAAAGGCTCCTTCTTTTCCATCAAGAGCCACGGTTTGAACTTTAAAACTTGCTGGCATCAACCCTTGTCCAGGAGAATAGCAATCAACAGTTTTCTCCCAACTCTATGGATTAAGCAAGAAGAAACTTAGATAAATGCCTTAAGATATGCTTAACATATTAACAATTATAATTTCTGCCAGCTTATTTTAGGAAAAACCAGTTTTATTATACTTTGTAAGACATAAGTCTGCAGCCAAATTAAAATTACTTACATCGAGTTTTTTTATAACTACTACCTCAATTACAATCACAAACTTAGCATTTGTAGATTTCTCGACTAAGATATAAATTTCATAACAATGCTTCCTCTATTTCACTGTGTTGCCTCTTCACAAAAACTAAGGAATGCGATTGATAAAAAAAACTATAATGTATATACAAAAGCAAACAACTTTTTCTTTCAATAATTTTGGGTCCCAAATTCTATAGTGTATTGTTCAGTGACAAATATACATTCTTGCTAATATACTAATATTTGGGTATTTGGCCCTTCAAGAGACCAGCAGTAATAGCATATAAGATGCCATGATAGGTAACCCATGAAGTACCAGCATCCAAATCTCAGCTACCTAAATCACTATGTGTAATTTCTATATTTACCTCTATACTGCTTCAGTAGTTGGGCATGAATGACCAGGATATATATTCAAGGGGTATAATAAATCTTAATTTTCTTTATCCCACTCCCACCTAAGCATATATAGTATTTCTACATAAGACTGATAGACAGCAACAAAGAACATAGACAAGAATGAAATATGCAGCAAGCTACCATACATGAAGTGACAATGTCGGCTTCTACTATAGCTAAAGGATACAAGAGATTGCCTGCAATTGCAATGTATGAAGCAGAAAATTCTTCACAATGTCTCCTTCCCCATTGAGTAAAAAGGCAAGTGCAGAAGGAACAAAATCCCGAATAAAAACCTGATCATAGTTAAGCTGCTCCTTTTCATTCGGATCATTTGCTGCCACTGTCCCCACAGGACTTCCACAATAATTCACAATAGAGCTCCTCAAAAGCTCCCAAGCCTCCTCCTCAATTTCCGACAACTTAGCCTTACGAGTGGAAGCTCCAACCTCGTTCAACTCCTCTATGTCATTAGTATTTACACCTACACTATCCTCCTTTTCTTCTACACCTAGATCATCTTCTATCCTCTCTATCACGAAAGGATTCACATCTACATTCACATTCAATCCACCTTGAATGTAATACATCTCAAAGCTCTTCTCATTAACACGAGCTTCAGACACCGATGATGATGATGAAGTCGAATTGTTCCTACAATCCGACGCTACATTCACCACCATGGCAACACCCCTATTCCTATCATTGCCACGACGACAACGTGATAAAGTCCTAGCATGACTCCAACTAGAACCGGAATCATAAAAAGCCATCCGATTCGAGCCATTCTTACATTTACTACCTACAACATTCAATGTAAAATGATCATATCTATACTTCCTAATCTTATAATTAGGCCTATAACCTCGTAAACTCGACATATCATCAATCACTATAACATTCCTTGAAAACCCTAAATTAATCGGATTCTTACTCTTACGACTAATCAGAGCTCTAGTAGAAACCCCAATCAAACCACCACTATTCATTCCAACAAATTCAAACTCAAACTCAACAATCAGAAACAATCTGATCTAAATGCAATAACAAGTAATCAAGTATAGTATACAAATCTGTTAAAATTGAAAATATGAATCAACAGAAACAGATTAATAAGCCCTAATTATATATATTTACAAAGTAATCAAAACTAGAGAAAAGATTGGGAATAATGAAATTGAAAGTATGATTGATTAAATTAATGATAGAACCTGGAAAATGGAGAGAATTGGAAATGGTTGTGATTTGAAATTGGAATTGTTGTTGAGTAATGAAAATGAAGAATGAAGTTAGCTTGCTATAAATGCAACTTTAAATTGTTTGTTTAAATAAAAGCGTGTTGGTGGGGGGGGAAGAACATTGGACTATTGTTTGAAATATCAAATGAGGAAATACCAAAAGTTATTGCAAAGTAAAGTTTCTTACCTTCTTGCCCCTGCACGTGACTTGATGAGGTGATGCCTTTAACATAGAGGACGTCCTAATTAATCACCGTGATAAATAATAGTAGAGGTTTTATCCATTTCTACTGTAAAATTTACATTTTGCCCCTATAGTAAAATTTGTTTATCACAAAAATTAACTTCGATTTTCTCTTTTTTAAACTCGGTTGGTGTAATCATAGAGGTGACTGTTTTTAAATATTTTTATTAACATGTGTTTTCATACTAGTAACTTTTAATAATGCTTCGTATTTATTAATATATTTTTTTTCATATACTAGTGGTCAAATTTAATCGTTTTAAATGTGTGTTTGATCAAACCGAAAGTAATTTTTATGACTTCCATCGTTTTAGAAATATTACATCACTAGGTTATCCCCGTGCGATGCATGGTTAAAATTAATTTTTCTTTTAATTTATGTTCTGTTGCATTACATTGTATACAAAGATCAGAATTAGATATTAAAATAATTTACAGTTAAGAAATTATATGAACCACATTATTTACAAATTACAATTAATAATTAAAATAGTCGAAAAAATGATTTAAAATGCATATTTATTGAAATATGAAAAAAAAAGTGGAGTTAAACAATGATTGGCATCAACCATGAGTTGAACGAATTCAACTAACAAATTATATTGACATTATCCATTTCGATCAATTCTAATCAAAGTTCAGTGACCATTTATCCACCATCGGTGGTTTATCACGGTGAATGATCTAAGCTTGTTGCTCTATGGACTAATTTCTTAAAGTAAAATAAAAAATAATATATAAAAAACTAAATCAAATAAAAACAATAAACCAAAAAGAAAACAAACCAGATATTATCCAAGTTATACAAATAATAAAGTGTAGATTTTTTAAAAATAAAAAATAAAAAAATCATAATTGACATCATACATTAAATTGACGGGAAAGTTTTTAATGGGGAAGCGACACATAGGTTAGGGAGGGAGTTGATAATGTCAGCAACGTTTTGTTTTAGTACTAGTTAATAGATTTGCAAATTTGAAGTTATGCACACGATCCATTTCGACCACATAATGTGATTTATATCAATATATGTGAATATATAATAAAGTTAGTATTGTTAGCCTTATCTCAAATATATTTTCATACTATCAACTCTTTAATAATTACACCTCTTATATAACTAAATATACTTAAGGTTGAAAATGTACATTGACACGCCTAAATTCCCTTATACTGCAATAATAACAGGACGGGGAAAGTATTTTATTTTTGTCACTCTCCTTATTCGATCTATATGCCATAATTATTAATTATCTAACAAATTTCACTTACATACTTTTTTATAAATTCAACTCAAACTATATTAATCCGATCAAATTGTCACACTTAAAAAAATATATATAATAAAAATAATAAAAATATAAAAACTAATAAGTACTCCCCCCATTTAAAATACTTGCTCCATTTCCCCTGGGTACGTATGCTAATGCAAATTTTTGATCAATTATACTCCCTCCGTGTTTAAATAAGTGTTACAATTTGACTTTTTCACTATTCACATAATGGTTTTGACTTGATTAATTTACTATTATATAAAAAATAAATGTTATTATATAATACATTGTTGGATTCGTAATAATGTGTACTTTCATAATATCAATTTTCTTATATTTTTACTAACATATAATTAGATTAATTAATGGTCAAAGTCGTGTCTCGGCATACGTGTTTGGTCAAACTGTAACACTTATTAAAACACGGATGGAGTATCTTTAATTGTTAATAAATATAAATTCTAGCAATTGAAAATTAATAATCTATTCTTCAATATGATTCCAACAAATACCCTTAAAACTATATTTTCTCTTATGTATAAATCATAAACATTGGTCAAAATAGGATGAATAAAAAGTGTAAAAAAAATAAAATGGAGCAGGTATTTAAAAACAGGGGTATATATAGTAAAAAAAAAAAATACACATGAAATAATTTGAATAATCCACATATATTAAAGGGTAAAAAGGTCCAATGAATAAATTAGTAAATGGATAAGGTAGGCCACATGCCCACAGAAGGGTCGGTGTTGTTCACAAAAAAAGAAGTGAAGAAAAATGTGAGGAATTCAGAGATAAAGCGACAACTTAATATTTCCAATTTTGATGGCTACGAACCCAACATTGACAAATAAAAAAAACGTACGGAGTAGTAATTTAGACTTCTGTCTATACACGTGTCATGCTACAAATGGTTTAGAACCTACTGTGGCGAATAGTGTCCGTCGATATTGGAAGTTTTTTTTCTGGACTTTATTTTTTATTTTTATTTTTTATTTACGATGTTGTGAATCATATGATCTTTGTCCTCCTTGTTGTACGGCAAACTGTATTTTGGGCCTAAAAATGGACCGGTTTGTAAATCCCAATTTTTTTATTCAATTGGGCCTTTGGGCTTTACCGTTATTTTTATTAAATGCAATAGGACTTACTTATAAGATGGGCAGAAAATTAAGTGTACACTTTCGTATATATCTACCTTCTTAGTTCGTTTTTACTTGGTCCAATTAGACTTTTACACTATTCACTTACTATTATAAACCGTCTTTTGTGATTTATACCTAAGGAAAAACATATTCATGTGAAATATTGTAATTCATGTTTGTGTCAATAAAGTTTATCATAATTAACTGTTTTAATTTTTATTTATTAAGGATTAAAGATATTGATTGTGAGGTGTATGCATTGACAAGCATAATAAATGAAACAGATCAAGTAAAAAATAACAAATGAAATATTTCATAAATTCTAGAACTACAATGATAACATCAACCTAATAAAACAAACTCATATCCGATCACTTGACTTAAGATACCTAACCCAAGATCCAAACTCTACTCAAAATCATTGCTTCTCTTTTACATTACAAGACACGACCCAATAATCTAAGTTTCCTAATGAATTTTTTAAAAAAAACATAAAATATATATTGGGAATATAACCAAAACTAACCCAAGCCCACTAGGTTGGATCCGAATCCTAAATTTATTTGAGCAAGTCTTATTCAAAATTGACTCGAGCCGAAATAACAGGATCTGTACTGTAGACTCTAAAATGTGTCTTCCCAAAACAAAGCCCGATGATGATGCGTACATCTCTCCTTAATTTGGTCTGGAATACAAAATGGACTTGAAAATTGGTTAAATAAACTTATGTTTCAACCCAAAGCCATTTAATCTACTCCACTAGTATTTTCTAAGCCATTTTAACTTCTTCATTATCATAAACCCTTTGTTTAGCACAAAATCCATTAACCTTAGCTCGATTTTCTCTTCTCATAACCTTAACCTGAAACAGAGCTAAATTGATTTTCAAGCCTTAGATTTTTTATATGAAACTTATATGGATGCATAACCCTTAAAATAATCTTTCCAATGATATATCATATGATAAATTTCGATTTGAAATGAAGGAGATGTAAGCAAAATACCAAACCGGGCCAAAATCTACACCCTTGCACTATTTTGGTCGTATATTTAAATATATAACTATGTCGACCTGATTTTAATTGGATTTGAAAGTAGAATTCTAGAACTATCCAACGATAAATTATTTTCCTTATTCCAAGTTCTGGATAAAAATTTGTGATAAATTTATGACCGCCTGTCCTATAGACTCGTGTGACACATGCAGAATTCGCTTGTGAAGCCATTCCTTTTGTGACACGACAATTTCTCATGTGTCATGCGAGTTCCTTATCCTTTTTTATCTTTTTCGGCTTGTTAATCTATAAATACCCCTTTTATGTTTTATTCAAGGCACCGATGCTCGCCCAGACAAACTAATGCGACGTTTCTAAACCAGTTTCAATCCCATATATATTCAAGCAATTTAAATGTCTATACAAAACCCAATGTTATACCTTATGTCCAATATTCAAAAAAAAATTGAATGTCTATACAATCCAAAATTTAATTTAAATCAGTTTAATTTAATTCTCTTAATTTGTTATTTATATTGAAATTTACTAAGAGTTTATCCATGACGTAGTCTTCAAACAATTCAAAGTGCACATTCAAAGTACGTAGTTAAACTCTAATCTTATAGAATTAATTATTTTATGTAATTATTTTATATATATATAATTTTGATTGTTACCAATTCGTATGCTTTTGTTTCTTCCAATATTATTGCATGCAAGGTTTTATTGCTTTAAATCAATTGCATGATCATGATATTGCATATACATTAATCAAGATTGAATATCACAGCTAACAAGATTTTTATGGACAAATAATTAATTAAGGATCCTAATAATTATGTTTTTTAATCAAGTGATCACAATTTAGCAGTTTTATATATGCGCTAATATTCAACCAATTAACTTAGTATAGTCTAGTTTGGAGCAAATTGAATATTTGTTCAATTCATATGTCTTTTTTTATTACAATTTACACATGTCTCAACAAGAATCGAGTAGAGGCCAATATTGGGGGGAATCGTCTTCTTGATTCAATTTTGTACCATCATCCCCGAACCCTCATGTGTTTCATAAATCGGAGTTAGCAATCTCATGATTGTAAATGGGGTGTAATCTTTATGTACCTAATTGTTGTTGCCTTCGAATTGATCCCTAGCTAGCATGGTTACCTTTTTTGTCTCTTTTATTAAAGATTCATGAACGGTTTACTAGCTCCTAAATTTTTGTTAATGACTCCCGACTTTTGCCCTTGTCCTTACAACGTCAATTTCACTGATTCCAATTATTGCTAATAAGCACATACATTTACACGTGTTAAGGTAGGCTGACTATTACGACATCTTCAATTTGGCGACTCCATTGGAGATTATTTAATTTATTTCTAACTAATCAGCATTAATTTGAGTGACATGGTCTAGTTCGGATGTGGATGAGACTTAAACGGTTCTTGACATGTATTTTTGCAATTTAATTGACATTGTCTCATAATA